ATTACATTGTTTTCAGACATTCTTTCCTCCTGGCTTTTATTTTTAAATATTTATTTTTAATCACCTATCTGCCTTTTTTGGTTCTTCATTATAAAACCTAAAAATTGAAAAGTAACGTTAATTATCAAAAAGTAAAATGTGAGAATAGTTTAATATAGGGCTGTGCGATTATGGCAAAAATCATTATCACGATTATTTTGGTCAATAATTGATATCATGATTATTAAAAACGATTATCCATTTACTTTGAAAACATCCATTTATTGAAAAAAAAAAAGTTAACCGTATGTTTTTAAGAGTTGATTACCCTGAACTTTGAGTATAATTCAACTGAAAAAAGAATAAAAAAAAGAAAATAATATTTACATTTTAAAAAAATAAATAAAAATAATAATCGTTTTATTTCGATTACGTTGTTTTCGTAATCGTTGCACGCCAAAATCGTAATCGCGATTAAAATACGATGAATTGCACAGCCCTAGTTTAATATGTTAACTACACATGTTGGAACAAGAATGAATAATGTGTGCCCCCGCACGCAGGTGAGAGAGAGAGATCTCTTTTAAATATATTGAAAATTAGAAACGGAGATGGTTAGATAAAATGTGCAAGATAACGTTTATGTAGCATTTCTTTATTGTCGAAATTATGACATTTCATAATGGGATGAAATCAAAGTGAATGGCCTGCTGCTGCTGAAGGCATGGGGCAAGTGTTATAAAGTTATAACATCGTTTCAGATAATAAATAATAATGATAATTCATTCTATTTAGGGGCGCCTTTCAAAGCACCCAAGGACACCTTACAATTCATAACATATTCTAAGGAAAGGTTTTAAGACAGTACAAAGAATGCAGTCTGGGTGATGTTTTGTATGTGGGAGCAGATGAGAGAGAGCTGTCCAGAATGACACCAAGATGTTGTGTTTGAGTTCTTGATAAGCCATTAAAACAGTAAAATACGTGTCTCCTGTTCCCCAAAACATACCCATCTGTTATGGAAAAAGAAAGTATTCAAAAGTATTCTAAAAGTAATCTGAAATACGTTAAAGTAGACCCGATTCCAACGTTTAAGACACGTAACTGTAACTGTATTCTGATTACTTTCAGAGCCATGTATTCAGTATTTAGTAACTGATTACAGAACAGTAGTGTCTATTGGATACATTTTGGCCCTTGGACAAATGTAGTTGTGATCCCTGCTGTCTAGCATGGAGAGCTTTTATTTTGGTGGGGAGGTACTTCCTGTCTGGTCAGCGGCGTGTTCATGCGAGTCAGCTGGTTGTGGGGGTCGGAGCTAAAAGTACATTCGGGAGTTTGTTCAAAGTGTGGGTTCCTGCAGCAGGTGAGTGTGTGTACAGTTTGTGTTCCTGCAGCAGCTGTGTGTGTGTGTGTGTGTGTTAAATGACCCAGTTTAAAGTCTCTTTAGTGACTCTTTAAAATGACCCAGTTTAAAGTCTCTTTAGTGACTCTAAATGACCCAGTCTAAAGTGTCTTTAGTGACTCTTTAAATGACCCAGTTTAAAGTCTCTTTAGTGACTCTTTAAATGACCCAGTCTAAAGTGTCTTTAGTGACTCTTTAAATGACCCAGTTTAAAGTGTGTGTGTGTGTGTGTGTGTGTGTGGAAGTCATGTGACTGACACCAAAACTTGTTAAATATGAGCCGAATGTCTTTCCTCTCAGAAACGGGGTAGTTTTACTCCAGCAGTGAGTAAAGAGCCCATGAGCAAGGCAGCAGCAGAAAGAGTGTGGTATTGAAGTGCTGAGTCTCTTTAGTGACTCTTTAAATGACTCAGTTTAAAGTCTCTTCAGTGACTCTTTAAATGACCCAGTTTAAAGTCTCTTTAGTGACTCTTTATATGACCCAGTCTAAAGTCTCTTAGTGACTCTTTAAATGACCCAGTCTAAAGTCTCTTTAGTGACTCTTTAAATGACTCAGTCTAAAGTCTCTTTAGTGACTCTTTAAATGACCCAGTTTAAAGTCTCTTTAGTGACTCTTTAAATGACCCAGTCTAAAGTCTCTTTAGTGACTCTTTAAATGACTCAGTCTAAAGTCTCTTTAGTGACTCTTTAAATGACCCAGTTTAAAGTCTCTTTAGTGACTCTTTAAATGACCCAGTCTAAAGTGTCTTTAGTGACTCTTTAAATTACCCAGTTTAAAGTCTTTTTAGTGACTCTTTAAATGACCCAGTCTAAAGTCTCTTCAGTGACTCTTTAAATGACCATTTAGCATTTCATTTTGAAGCTCTGATCCAGAAAGTGTTGCCAGGGAGAAATATTCACCCCCCCCCCCTTTATATAATGCAGTACTTGTTTATTTACAGCTGTAACATGAATTTTAAAATATAATATGAAAACTCCACTGTGCTTTCATTTTGTAAAAGTTTTTGTTTTCCTGTTTTTTCCATGGTTCTCTTCTGTGATTGGTCCAGTCTGATGATGTCATCGGTTTAAAGTAGAGTGCGTGATAAAGGTGGGCGCTCTGATTGGAGAAGGGCCGCTGTGGGAGGAGTCCCAACAGAACGCTGATGTTTGTCGATATCGCCGGGCAGAAAATCCACCGCTGGAGGCCAACGACCAATCAGAGCGAGTCTGTGGAGACAGGTGAGCCAATCGGCATGCAGCAATCACTCAGAGGTGATTCTTTATTATAATAATATTCACACAGATTATATTGATGGTTCTCCTCAGCGGACTTCGTGAGCTTCGTGGTTCCTCGTGTCTCTGGGGGTTACCTGGCAGGCATGGGTCGCAGCATCGTGGCTGTTGAATGGTCGACTCAGATGATGACATCACTGGTGGAGCTGGACGAGGACAAACCGAACAACCGTCTGAACGATGGGAAGGTGGATCCGAGAGGACGCCTGCTGGCAGGTGGGTGCAACCTGCAATGTTAGGCTAACTCTGTTCTGCTAACTCTGTTCTGCTAACTCTGTTCTGCTAACTCTGTTCTGCTAACTATGTTCTGCTAACTATGATAGGCTAACTATGTTCTGCTAACTCTGTTCTGCTAACTATGTTCTGCTAACTATGTTCTGCTAACTATGTTCTGCTAACTCTGTTCTGCTAACTCTGTTAGGCTAACTCTGTTCTGCTAACTCTGTTCTGCTAACTATGTTCTGCTAACTCTGTTAGGCTAACTCTGTTCTGCTAACTCTGTTAGGCTAACTCTGTTCTGCTAACTCTGTTCTGCTAACTCTGTTCTGCTAACTCTGTTCTGCTAACTATGTTCTGCTAACTCTGTTAGGCTAACTCTGTTCTGCTAACTCTGTTAGGCTAACTCTGTTCTGCTAACTCTGTTCTGCTAACTATGTTCTGCTAACTCTGTTAGGCTAACTCTGTTCTGCTAACTCTGTTCTGCTAACTCTGTTCTGCTAACTCTGTTAGGCTAACTCTGTTATGCTAACTCTGTTAGGCTAACTCTGTTCTGCTAACTCTGTTCTGCTAACTATGTTCTGCTAACTATGTTCTGCTAACTCTGTTAGGCTAACTCTGTTCTGCTAACTCTGTTCTGCTAACTCTGTTCTGCTAACTATGTTCTGCTAACTATGTTCTGCTAACTATGATAGGCTAACTATGTTCTGCTAACTCTGTTCTGCTAACTATGTTCTGCTAACTATGTTCTGCTAACTCTGTTCTGCTAACTCTGTTCTGCTAACTCTGTTCTGCTAACTCTGTTCTGCTAACTATGTTCTGCTAACTATGTTCTGCTAACTCTGTTCTGCTAACTCTGTTCTGCTAACTATGTTCTGCTAACTCTGTTCTGCTAACTCTGTTCTGCTAACTCTGTTCTGCTAACTCTGTTCTGCTAACTATGTTCTGCTAACTCTGTTCTGCTAACTATGTTCTGCTAACTCTGTTCTGCTAACTCTGTTCTGCTAACTATGTTCTGCTAACTCTGTTCTGCTAACTCTGTTCTGCTAACTCTGTTCTGCTAACTCTGTTCTGCTAACTCTGTTCTGCTAACTCTGTTCTGCTAACTCTGTTCTGCTAACTCTGTTTCTGCTAAACTATGTTCTGCTAACTCTGTTCTGCTAACTATGTTCTTCTAACTCTGTTCTGCTAACTCTGTTCTGCTAACTCTGTTCTGCTAACTATGTTCTGCTAACTATGTTCTGCTAACTATGTTCTGCTAACTCTGTTCTGCTAACTCTGTTCTGCTAACTCTGTTCTGCTAACTCTGTTCTGCTAACTATGTTCTGCTAACTATGTTCTGCTAACTCTGTTCTGCTAACTCTGTTCTGCTAACTCTGTTCTGCTAACTCTGTTCTGCTAACTCTGTTCTGCTAACTCTGTTCTGCTAACTCTGTTCTGCTAACTATGTTCTGCTAACTATGATAGGCTAACTCTGTTCTGCTAACTCTGTTCTGCTAACTCTGTTCTGCTAACTCTGTTCTGCTAACTCTGTTCTGCTAACTCTGTTCTGCTAACTCTGTTCTGCTAACTCTGTTCTGCTAACTCTGTTCTGCTAACTATGTTAGGCTAACTCTGTTCTGCTAACTCTGTTCTGCTAACTATGTTCTGCTAACTATGTTCTGCTAACTATGATAGGCTAACTATGATAGGCTAACTATGTTCTGCTAACTCTGTTCTGCTAACTCTGTTCTGCTAACTATGTTCTGCTAACTCTGTTCTGCTAACTCTGTTCTGCTAACTCTGTTCTGCTAACTATGTTCTGCTAACTCTGTTCTGCTAACTCTGTTCTGCTAACTCTGTTCTGCTAACTCTGTTCTGCTAACTCTGTTCTGCTAACTCTGTTCTGCTAACTCTGTTCTGCTAACTCTGTTCTGCTAACTATGTTCTGCTAACTATGTTCTGCTAACTATGTTTCTGCTAACTATGTTCTGCTAACTATGTTCTGCTACTCTGTTCTGCTAACTATGTTCTGCTAACTCTGGTTCTGCTAACTCTGTTCTGCTAACTCTGTTCTGCTAACTCTGCTAACTCTGTTCTGCTAACTCTGTTCTGCTAACTCTGTTCTGCTAACTCTGTTCTGCTAACTCTGTTCTGCTAACTCTGTTCTGCTAACTATGTTCTGCTAACTCTGTTCTGCTAACTCTGTTCTGCTAACTCTGTTCTGCTAACTATGTTCTGCTAACTATGTTCTGCTAACTCTGTTCTGCTAACTATGTTCTGCTAACTATGTTCTGCTAACTCTGTTCTGCTAACTCTGTTCTGCTAACTCTGTTCTGCTAACTATGTTCTGCTAACTCTGTTCTGCTAACTCTGTTCTGCTAACTCTGTTCTGCTAACTCTGTTCTGCTAACTCTGTTCTGCTAACTATGTTCTGCTAACTCTGTTCTGCTAACTCTGTTCTGCTAACTCTGTTCTGCTAACTCTGTTCTGCTAACTATGTTCTGCTAACTATGTTCTGCTAACTCTGTTCTGCTAACTCTGTTCTGCTAACTCTGTTCTGCTAACTCTGTTCTGCTAACTCTGTTCTGCTAACTCTGTTCTGCTAACTCTGTTCTGCTAACTCTGTTCTGCTAACTCTGTTCTGCTAACTCTGTTCTGCTAACTATGTTCTGCTAACTATGTTCTGCTAACTATGTTCTGCTAACTCTGTTCTGCTAACTCTGTTCTGCTAACTATGATAGGCTAACTCTGTTCTGCTAACTCTGTTCTGCTAACTCTGTTCTGCTAACTCTGTTCTGCTAACTCTGTTCTGCTAACTCTGTTCTGCTAACTCTGTTCTGCTAACTCTGTTCTGCTAACTATGTTCTGCTAACTATGTTAGGCTAACTATGATAGGCTAACTATGTTCTGCTAACTCTGTTCTGCTAACTATGATAGGCTAACTATGTTCTGCTAACTATGTTCTAGTAACAGTTCAGTTGTGTGTCTCAGGTACAATGGGGAGGGAGAAGCGACCGGCGGAGGTTCAGAGACAACAAGGGTCTCTATTCTCTGTGACCTCTGACCTCTCTGTGACCAAACACCTGACACAGGTGACCTCACCTTTAATCACTTGTTAACACACTTCTGCTATTGACCTCTGACCTCTCTTCACCTGTCTCTCTGTCCCTGTCTCTCTGTACTTGTCGGTCTGTACTTGTCTCTCTGTCCCTGTGTGTCTGTACTTGTCTGTCTGTACCTGTCTGTCTGTACCTGTCTGTCTGTACTTGTCTCTCTGTCCCTGTGTGTCTGTACCTGTCTGTCTGTACTTGTCTCTCTGTACCTGTCTGTCTGTACTTGTCTCTCTGTCCCTGTGTGTCTGTACTTGTATGTCTGTACTTGTCTGTCTGTACTTGTCTGTCTGTACTTGTCTGTCTGTACCTGTCTGTCTATCTGTCTGTACTTGTCTCTCTGTACCTGTCTGTCTGTACCTGTCTGTCTGTACCTGTCTGTCTGTACTTGTCTGTCTGTACTTGTCTGTCTGTACCTGTCTGTCTGTACCTGTCTCTCTGTACCTGTCTGTCTGTACTTGTGTCTCTGTACCTGTCTCTCTGTACCTGTCTCTCTGTACCTGTCTGTCTGTACTTGTGTCTCTGTACCTGTCTCTCTGTACCTGTCTGTCTGTACCTGTCTGTCTGTACTTGTCTCTCTGTACCTGTCTGTCTGTACTTGTCTCTCTGTACCTGTCTCTCTGTACCTGTCTCTACCTGTCTGTACCTGTCTGTCTCTCAGGTGGACATCTCTAACGGGATGGACTGGTCTCTGGATCAGAAAACGTTTTTTTACATCGACAGTTTGTCTCTGACCGTCGACGCTTTCGACTACGACTCAGACTCTGGACGTCTCGGTATCTGAGTATTTATTATCGTGTACTCATACTGCAATAAACATGTACTTATACTGCTGTAAATATGTACTTATACTGCAGTAAATATTCATTTATCATCTTGTGCTTGTACTGCAGTAAATATATTTGAATGTGGTACACAATCTTAATCTGTATACCTGTGTTGCCCAGGTAACCGGCGTGTTGTGTACCACCTGGCCGAGGGGGAGGGGCTTCCTGACGGGATGACGGTGGACGCGGACGGTCGTCTCTGGGTGGCGATTTATAACGGAGGGCGAGTGCTCAACATCGACCCCGAAACCGGTCAGTCAGAACCTCAGTGTACCTGTGCGTTCTCTCAGGTGTACCTGTAGTCTCAGGTGTAGTTGTTGTTGTTGTTTCAGGTGTGTGTCTGCAGACTGTTTCTCTGCCGGTGACAAAGACCACTTCCTGTTGTTTTGGGGGTCCGGACTTCTCCGACCTTACGTGACCTCAGCCAGTCTTGGCCTGGACCAATCAGAGCGGAGGAAGCAGCCGCTGGCCGGGGGGGGTCTTCAGGGTGAGCGGCTCCAAAATAATGCTTATCAAAAAAAATACAATTATATAACGAGCATGATGCTGCCATGTCCATACTAAAGTGTGTGTGTGTGTGTGTGTGTGTGTAGGTCTCAGGACTTGGGGTCAAAGGTCGTCCCTCAGTCTCGTTCTCTGGATAAACCTCAGCTGTCTCAAATCATTGACTCTTATCACATTATGATAAACTGTGATCTATATACGGAGGCAGCCAATCAGAGAGGAGGACACTGTGACAGCCAATCAGAGAGGTGGACACTGTGAGAGCCAATCAGACTGGAGAAATTATACCTATTTTATGTAACTTTGTATAATAATGAAGATAATGATCTGCAGCTGAGGATTATGGGTAATGTAGTGAATGTAACCACACCAATGATAAATCAGTTTGAAATAAAGAGAGCGTCTCGTAGACACGGTGCGTTTATTGACACAAAGTGCAGAACAACACAACAACAACAACACGCCTAGAAAATGTTTCTGTACACGTAGAAAACTTTGTGCTGTAAGTCTTTATGGGGGGGGGGGGGCTACACAAATACCCCTTTTAATTTATTCAGAAACAAAAGTCCTTTATTCACATTTATCAGGATGTGTTTTCCTGACGGATCAGATCCGGTTTTCATTCTCAGACTTTATCTTATGATTAATATTTGCTGTTTTAATATTTACAGTTTTAAATACGTAGTTATTTCCTAATGTCTTTGTTATTAAAGTCCTTGCTGTGTGAACCTGTCACTTCCTGTTCCTCTGAATATTTATTTTAGTTAACATGATGATACTGTGAGAATATATATGATCGTTAGCGTCATCGTGCTAACAGCCGTGCTAACAGACGTGTTTTACATGGTGTGGCTACGCTTCGAGCTAACAGGTTCACACAGCAGTCACACTGGTGTTTTTCACAGATAACATGTTCCCCCCCCCGCTGTTGCAAGGCTCGTCAAACAGAACCGCAGAACCCTGTACAGATACAGACAGGAACATAGAACCACAGAACCTGCAGAACTCCAGAATCACAGATCCTTCAGAACCACAGAACCTGCAGAACTCTAGAACCACAGATCTTTAAGAACCACAGAACCTGCAGAACTCTGATTTCAGGTTGGTGTGGTTCTGACCGATCACAACATATAAACACGACGTCGCAGAAATGTAGAAAACAAAGTGCTGATTAGTCCCATCGATTAGTGGGCGTGTCCAGCAGAGAACCCGTCAGACTGAAAGGTCCAGCGGAGAACCCGTCAGACTGAAGGTGCAGCAGAGAACCCGTCAGACTGAAGGTGCAGCGGAGAACCCGTCAGACTGAAGGTCCAGCGGAGGACCCGTCAGACTGAAGGTCCAGCGGAGAACCCGTCAGACTGAAGGTCCAGCGGAGAACCCGTCAGACTGAAGGTCCAGCGGAGAACCCGTCAGACTGAAGGTGCAGCGGAGAACCCGTCAGACTGAAGGTGCAGCGGAGAACCCGTCAGACTGAAGGTCCAGCGGAGAACCCGTCAGACTGAAGGTCCAGCGGAGAACCCGTCAGACTGAAGGTCCAGCGGAGACCCGTCAGACTGAAGGTCCAGCGGAGAACCCGTCAGACTGAAGGTCCAGCGGAGAACCCGTCAGACGGAAGGTGCAGCGGAGAACCCGTCAGACTGAAGGTGCAGCGGAGAACCCGTCAGACTGAAGGTCCAGCGGAGAACCCGTCAGACTGAAGGTCCAGCGGAGAACCCGTCAGACTGAAGGTGCGTTTCCATGACTTAATTCATGGTTTAATGTGTGCGTAAAGAAACACCAAAACAAAAACTGTTCCCTCTCTTCCGAGCCGCGACGACAGAACTATGAGAACCAGCCGCCACTCGTGTCAGCTGATCATCAAACAGACCATGTCCTTCACTTTACTCCGGTTCTCCAGTTCTCCTCCGGTTCCTCCTGTGTGTCGTCATCAGTAGTGCTCCTCGGAGTGAGCCGCGTCACAGAAGAAGCGAGAGCTGCGTTTGGCCGAACGAGCAGTGAAGGGGACGGTCTTCAGAGCTGCAGCCAATCAGAGAGCAGACAGATACCAGCCAGTCAGAGAGCAGACAGATACCAGCCAATCAGAGAGCAGTATAGTAGTATATGAGTACCTGTGATGATGTCCTCGATGGCTCCGTCCTTCCTTCATAAACGTGCCGCGTTTCCTTCCCTTGTTTTCGTCGGAGTTCAGAGAGAAGCTCCAGCTGCTGGCGCTTCCCCCGGTGGGAGGGGGACTGGGGAGAACATGTAAGTAATAAATAACAACAATAAACAATACCAGTAGTTAATATACAGTATATATCATGGCAAAAACTCTTACTGGATCCGGGGAAGCCATGGTGCCTACCCCAGGCACCATGGCTTCCCCGGATCCAGTAAGAGTTTTTGCCATGATGACAACCCCGCTGCTCGCGGAGGACCTTCTCTCATGGACGTCTCATCTACCCGGGGTTCTGCCGCGAGGACTACGCTGTCTATGGGCCCAGGGAAATGGGAGACTTTCCCCCTATGCAGCGCGCACTTGCGACGGCAAGCCGACCAGCCCAGCGAGGAGGACCTGGCTTCTAATTCTCCTACTCCTGATGTCGGGTAACGTGAAACCGAATCCAGGCCCAGACTGTCTCAGCTGCAAACGCCAGAGGAGTTTAGAACGAAAGACGGATTACGTCTTTTTCACCTTAATGTTCGCAGCATGATTAATAAGATGGACTCCATCAGAATATGGGCCGATTCGACTGACTCTGATATCATTGTCCTTTCTGAGACGTGGCTCAAAAAGTCGATTACAAATGATATGATAAATATAAAAGATTACAATGTCTTTAGAACAGACCGTGTGGGAAAAGGGGGCGGGGTTGCGATTTATGTTAAAAACCATTTAGACTGCACCTGCATCGAATCCCTAACAAAACCAAAATGCTTTGAACTCTCTGTAATTAAACTATCGCTCCCAAGTGGTTCAGACATTATAGTGGTCGGATGCTACCGCCCGCCCGCTGCCTCAAGCGAAGCCACGAATATACTCTCCAATCTTCTCCATAACTGGACTAAATCCGAGATGGTTTTACTCGGAGACCTAAACTGGGACTGGCAAACGGATTTACAAAACTCTTTCAAGGACACTTGTGACTCTCTCTGTTTGGTGCAACTAGTTAACTCGCCAACTCGGTTAAACCAAAAAGATTTAGAGAAGTCCACTTTGATTGATGTTATTCTTACAAACGCACCTCACCGTTTATCCGCAGTAGGCACGTTTTGTAATGATATAAGCGACCACTGCGCAATTGCTTGTGTGAGAACCTGTAAGATCCCTAAAGGAAAGCCACGTCTCATTCACAAGAAGCGATTCAAACATTTCGATGAGCAGGCGTTTCTACATGATGTTTTTAATAGTGATTTACACATTGTTTCACTTATGACCGATGTTGAGTTAGCATGGAATTATTTTAAATCCACCTTCTTGGCTATACGTGACAAGCATGATCCTTTTAGGACATCTAGGATAAGCGGTAAAGACAACCCCTGGTTTAATGATTCTATATCCTCTCTCATTCGACAGAGAGACACTGCCTGGGCTAAAGCAAAGAAATCGAATATTCCATTAGATTGGAATCTGTATAGGACATTAAGAAACAAATGCACTAAGCTGATTAAAGACTCTAAATGTGCCTACTATCTTAATGCAATACATGACAATTTGAATAACCCTGCAAAGTTTTGGAAACTTGTTAAATCCTCCTCAGGTTCTATCACTCCAAACAGCCTTCCTGATCTCTTACGGGTAACTCAGAGTGAAATCAAGGGCAAAATAGATATTGCAGACAGCTTTAATAATTATTTTATTTCTGCTGGCTCAATCTTTGATTCTAGCAACTCAGGGATGATTGCTGCAGAAGGAGAGCCAGGTCCTCCGCCACTTGACCCTGATCAACAGTTCACCTTTGCCCCCATCTTGACCTCTCAGGTTCACAAAGCTTTAATGAGCCTAGATGTAAAGAAATCTTCAGGCCCAGACAAGATAGAGCCGTTCTTCTTCAAAGTTGCTGCGGTCTGATTGCAGAACCCATAACCTCTATTTTGAATCTCAGTCTTTGTGCTGGTGAATTGCCTAGCTCCTGGAAGTCGGCCATGGTTCTCCCCTTGTTAAAGGGCGGGGACCCCTCTGACCTAAATAATTATCGCCCTATTTCCAGACTGTCTGTAATGGCCAAAGTCTTTGAATCTCTTGTAAACGAACAACTGAAAAAGTTTCTAACTGACCATAATATTCTTAACGAGTCTCAGTCAGGCTTCAGATCAGGCCATAGTACTACTTCAGCGGCTATGCTAGTCTCAAATGACATAATTGAAGCACTAGACAAGAAAAAACACTGTGCAGCATTGTTTGTTGTTCTGTCTAAAGCTTTTGATTCTGTGGATCATGCATTGCTACTGCAGAGGCTTGGCTGCATAGGTCTTGGCAAAATGGCTTTGAGCTGGTTTAAAAACTATCTATCTGAAAGAACTCAGTGTGTCTCAGTAGAAGATTATACCTCAGCTGCTCTTACTGTAAACAAAGGTGTTCCATAAGGTTCTATTTTGGCCCCTGTCTTATTCTCCATCTTTATAAATGAACTAGGAAATGGGATAAACCCAGCACGGTTTCATTTATACGCCGATGATACAGTTGTTTACACAGTGGCTTCCTCTTTAACCCAGGCCATAGAGCTTCTACAGGATGCTTTTAATACACTGCAACACTCCTTGCTAAGGCTAAGACTGGTCCTTAATGCAAAAAAGACCAAGTACATGACCTTCTCTCGCTCTCGAGCTAATACAGCTGTCCCTCCGATTCTGACACTGGAAGGGACATGCCTTGACAAAGTAGCATCCTACAAATATCTGGGCATATGGATTGATGAAAAGATGGCCTTTGATGTTCATATTGGGAACCTACTGAGAAAACTTAGACCTAAACTGGGCTTTTTCTTCCGTTTAAAGAAATGTTTCCCGTCTGAAGCCAGGAAGAGAATTGTGCAGAGTTCCTTTCTGTCTGTATTAGACTATGGCGATGTGATCTATATGCATGCTCCTTCCTCCCTGCTTAAAAGGCTGGATTCTGCGTACCATACTGCTATACGTTTTGTAACGGGTGCAGGCTCTCGCACCCACCACTGCACTTTGTATCAGTCCCTAGGATGGTCCTCTCTGTACCAAAGAAGACACTCACACATGTTGATTTGTATCCTTAAGTCATTGCTAGGTAAGCTGCCCTTATATATCTCCAGACCTCTGTCCTTTTATACTTGCTTTTTTAATACCAGACGAGCAGCCAATGGGATGCTTTTAAATGTTCCTTTGATGCAGTCAGAGCTTGGTAAAACTGCATTCTCCCACTATGCTCCCTTTTTATGGAATACGCTGCAAGTAAAACTTTGTCGAGAGGCACTTCCTACTGTAAATGCTTTTAAAGGTATGCTACGATTAGCCCTTCATGAAACATGTAACTGTTTTACCTGATGCTATTGCTGATGTGATTATGCTTCTTGCCACTGCACAAATGGCCTTCTGTATTTATATTTGAATTGTATGTTTTTTGTTTAATGCCCTTGTTTTATGTTGAAACTTGTTGTGTGCCGTGTTGGTCAGGACTCCCTGGAAGAAGAGATCTTGTATCTCAATGGGACATTCCTGGATAAATAAAAAAAAAAAAAAAAAAAAAAAAGAGACCACATTTAATCTTCCTGTTTTGTTGCACT